TTTCTTTCTTTCTTTCTTTCTTTCTTTCTTTCTTTCTTTCTTTCTTTCTTTCTTTCACTTTTGACCAGTAATCAGAGTCCTGCAGTTTTAGTCCATGGTTTTACAAACTGTTGGTTATGAGGGTGGATCCAACCTCAATGACTTCCAACCCTGCTAATACCTAACTAGCTACCTCTCTAGCCTGCCTCATTTCTAATACCATAATTTGGAGGAAACACTCAGCTCTAGGGTTCCCAATGTAACTACCCTGGCAGCAGAGGAGATGCTCTAAAAATAATTTTTAAAAAAACCTGTGCCCCTCCTTCAGTAGCTATCAGACTATTGAAGCAATGGACCCCAAAGAATTAAAATTTTTCCCACCAACCCCATGTTAAGGGAAAGGAAAGGTTTAAGCCCAGATGTCAGTCAGAGGAGGAACTTGACTCCTAGGAAGAGATTTCGCACAGTTCCGACAATTTATCAGACCAGAGCTGAGACAACGAAGGGTCAGTGATAGGTGACACCTGCCCAAGGCTCTTTAATTATGCATACTTCTTTCTATTTAAACATAAGCCTCATGTCAGCACTAATAAAGATAGACTTGGGTGGAGGGGAAGGTCACTATGTTACAGGATTTAGGGTCACTATGATTGTTACTGGATTTATGGTCATAGCCTATGCCCCCCACAACAAGCCAGGTTTGACCATTAGTCCTCAATAACCGAATTAAAAGAGCCAAGTTAAAAGTGAAAAGCAGAAAATCGAGATGTGAAAAGCAGAAAATCAATGTGACCAAACTGGGAAGAGGAACAAAGAGATCCGGTGACCTCTTAGGTCCATCTTCAGGTTCTTGACATGAGGTTAAGGTTTAAATAGAAGGCAAGAGATATGCATAATTAAGGAGTCCTGGTCAAGGTGTGCTTTTGTGCATTATTGACCCATCATGGAACTGTGTGTCTAAACATTATCTATATATTCTGAAAAGTTTGCAGAGTAAAAGGCATGTAAGTTTAATATAAGCAACATGACCAACAACTGTTCTCTTCTATAAAATATGAATTATATCTGGACTATCAGTACATGAATAGTAAAATAATTATTTTGACAGCTTTACTATTTTTGATTGATACCATTTAGATGAAAACTCTGACACGTGGGAAGTCTTGCTATTTGAAACTGTAGAGGTTGTCTATTTGCCAGAACTAAATAAACACTTTTTACATGCAGATGAACTTATACACCAGAAAATGAGACTGTAACGGGTCTGGAGAGATGACTCAGCAGTTAAGAGCGCTTGCTTGCTTGCTTGCTTGCTTGCTTGCTTGCTTGCTTGCTTGCTTGCTTACTTATCTACTTACTTACTGTTCTTGTAGAAGACCTGGGTTAGGTTCCCAGTACCCACATGGTAGTTCATTGTTGTGATTATTAGGCCTTAAAACTGGGGTTGGACCTTAGCAACTTGTGTAGTGCTCTACAAAGCTATGAGAGCTAGCCTTCACAGGAGGTGGCTTCCAGGTCAGTTCCAGCTCCATTGCTCCAAACCCTGTGTTCAAAGTATGTCCTGTCTTCAGCAATAGGGTCTTACCTTCAAGTTCTGGGAGACAATCAAGGGCTGTGGCAATAGCCTGTGTAATTTTGGAAGTCTCTTGGACTACCTTGGCCAATAACTCAAAGGAAGGTTTCTCCTGTCTGGTACTGTTTCTTGTTATGTAGCCTTTAGCTATACATATGGACTCATCTAGAGATATTGTATGTGTAATTTTTCAGTAGGTTTTTGGACTAATATGGTTACCTCTGATTTTTTTTACACTAGCTAGGCATTTTTTACCTCTCCTCGCTCCATGTCTAACGCTCCCTCCACATCGTCCCTATTTGCCCCCCATTTCTCCCCCGATAATGCCTGTCTCCTGTGGTCCCATCTCTCTTGAGTTACGTCCTCTCCTTTATTCCCATAGTTCCTTGTATAATTCTTCCTCTCCCCCTTCCATTTAAATACCCCCATTTTACCCATTTCTCCCTTAGTAACACCTGTTTTCTACCGTTTTTCTCTCTCGGGTTCCTTCTTTCCCTTTACCTCCCTGGTTCCTTTCCATTCTCCAGGTTCCTGCAGTTACATCAGGATATCTACTCATATATGAGAATTTGGTGCTAGGATCCATAAATGAGGGCAAACATACATTGTTTGTTTTTCTAAGTGTGTTACTTCACTAAATGTAACACTTTCTACTTCCATCTATGTACCTGCAAAGTTCATGATTTTATCTTTCTTTATCACTGAGTATTTATTTTTTAAATTTTATGTCTATGAATGTTTTGCCTCCATGTTTGTAAGGTACCATGTATGCAACGCCCTGGTAACACTAGAATGGGAAACGTCACAGTTGTCCCTCCTTAGGATTTAAAATATAATATAAAATGTGGAGAAATCAGGAGTTTAAGGCCCATTAAAGGAAATCTACTTATTTTGGTGAAAAGAATGGATCCTGAGAGGCTGGGTTTAGTGGTTAAGAGCACTTGCTATTCTTGAAGAGGAACTGGGTTCAGTTCCCAGTACCCACATGGCAGCTGCACTCCAGTTCCCAGGGATCCAGTGCCCTCTTCTAGCATCCACAAGCACCAGGCATACACATAGTATACATACATACATACATACAGTCAAAACATTTATACACCTAAAATAAAAATAAATCTTTAAAAAATGGAATCTGGTCTTGGGTGAATACATGACATTCTAATCTGCTCCAAAGGTTAGAACATTACATACTATTGTTTCTTCTCTTAAGAGTTAATCCAACCAGGCTGGTGCATGCTTTTAATTCTGGTATTCAGAAGACAGAGGCAGGTGGATCTCTGTGAATTCAAGGCTAGCCTAGTCTATGTACTGAGTTCCAGGCCAGATCAGGCTGTAAAGTGAGACCGTGTCTCAAAACAAAACAAACAAACAAACAAACAAACAAAAACCCCCATTTATCTAAGTAGGCCTGTCAATCACCTGGCCAGGAGACCATTCATCAAGAAAACTGATTTGCCTGAAAACATGCTAAGGGGTTGGGAGGAACAGTGGTCTTCCTGACAAGATAACGTACTTAGGACACTTTTCAGAAACCTTCTGATGTAGCTTACAGAGCTTCCACCATGCAACACTACCAAGCCTGACTACTTTTCTGAGTTCTGACTTAAGAAGTGTAACTTTTCCTTTTCCTCCTTTCTACCTCTTTTTTGGATGCTTGCTCACACATTCTGGGCATTCTCAGTCTCTGACTTCCCCAGCCCATACAGACAGTGTAGCTGCTTGCTGACATCTACTGCCTGCTTTCTTGGAACTAACTCAAAAGACATTTGTTTTCTTCTCCGTCTCCCTCTTCCCAGCAGCTGCCAAGATTTACAGCTTGCTTGATTTGCTGTTTTTCTTTCAAACTCTAATGGTTTGGGGATACAGCTCAGTGGCAGAGCATTTGCCTGGCAAGCACAAGGTTCTGGGTTTTTTCCTTAGCTCAAATTACGTGTGTGTGTGTGTGTGTGTGTGTGTGTGTGTGTGTGTGTGTGTAAATCAAACTCTAATAAAATGGTCCTCAAACTTCTTTCTGACACTGTTTCTATAGTAACTGTACTGGACAGATTCAGTTGTCAACTTGACATACCTGAGTGGAGGGAACCTACCTAGTGGAGGGAACTTCCTCCATTGGATTGGCCTCTGGCCATGTCTGTGGCGCATTTTCTGATTGCTGAGTGATGTGGAAGGTCCAGTCCACTGTGGGCAGTGCCAACTCTGGGCAGGTGGTCCTGTGTTGTATAAGAAAGCAGGCTGAGCACAGGCCAGAGGAAGCAAGTCAGTAAGCAGCACCACTCCATGGTCTGTGCTTCAGGTTCCTGCCCCATGTTCCTGCCTTGGCGTCCCTTGATGATGAACTGTGCTGTAAGCAAAATAAACCCTTTCCTCCCCAAGTTAGTTTTGGTCAGTCTTTTTATCTCAGCAATAGAACGTAACTAGAACAGTAACAATGTGGCCACATCAAATAAATCTTTCTCTGATTTACTTGTCTCTTTGATTGGTATACTGGGGAGAGATACCATGGCCTAGTTTGTTGGGGTTGCTAGAGTCCTGGGTTTGACCTGACATTGCTGTTAGCACTTTCTCTTTGGAATGGTCTGGTCTGTTGGGGAGTAGTACAAGAATTCAGCCAAAAACAAGAGCCCCTCAGCATTTTCCTTTAACCAGTATACCAAAATCTTGAGTTCACTGGTGCTCCTAGGACTTGTAGGTGAGGTAGAGACAGCCGAGAACTCTAAAAAACTTATCTTTTCTAAGTTGTACTGCCACCAAATAGTGGAGCTGTAGATGGCACTTAGGATACTTGATTTCCCAATTTTTGTTTCACAAGCTTTAAAACAAAAGATAATCCAGGACTGTTTGTACTTTTATGTGTACTTGCAGGGTTTATTCTGGTGTTGCCAGTGATATAAGAGATTCACGCTTCTCTTTGACTGCCCCTTTGCCTTGAAACTTGACAACAATTCATCTGCAGTTTCCACAGGCTTCCTCTTCTACTTACCCTTAGTTAACCTGGGCACTAGGACAGGAGCTGCTTCGGTACTACATTTTTCTGCTAACTGCATGGCACGGGGAGGTGCCCCCTGCTGAAGTCTGCACTCCTAAGTCTCTACTCCATCTCCTTTTAGATATCCGCTCCTTACATGAGCACCACCACCATCATATCGCCTCCCTCTGGGACACAACAGAATAGAAAAGAGAAGCTGAAGAATGTGCCCCTCTACCTGGGAGAAGACATCCGTCCTGAAATGAAAGAAGACATATATGACCCCACCTACCAGGATGCGGAGGGCCCCCCGCCCAAGCTGGAGTACGTGTGGAGAAACATCATCCTCATGTCCCTGCTGCACGTGGGAGCCCTGTATGGGATCACGCTGATTCCCAGCTGCAAGTTCTACACCTGCCTCTTTGGTGAGCAGCTCCCCTTGTCTTGAGCTAGTACTCCAAGTTTCTCTCTTCTCTTTAATAAGGTGGAGTGTCACACTACGCAGTGGCCTCTCTCTGTCCAGGGTTCCCCATCATTTTCTCTTTAGTTCTTGATGGACTGACTGGACTGAGAAGAGGGACGAATGGGGTTAAGAAGCAGGAGTGTCATTTCTAGAGTCTGTCTGTGTTTTCTTTTCTTTCTTTTGCTTTGTTGTATTGTTGTTGTGTTATGAGACAGAGTCAGAGCCCTGGCTGACCTGGAACTCACTGTGTACCAGAGAATGATGTTGAATCTTGATCCTCTTGCTCCACTTCCCAAGAGCTGATATTAGAGATAAATAATCACCATACTGGTTCCTTTTTTTGGCTAAAATCTAATTCTGTGGCCCAGTGTGTCCTGGAACTCACTATGTAGTCCAAGGTGGCCTTGAACCCATGATGATCCCTCTGCCTCAGCCTGTTGGGACTGTACTTTGAGCCACCAGTCTTGGCAAAATTAACCTGAAAGTGTTTTGCTATTGTTTGCTACCTTGGGTTTTGTGGTGCTGGGTATCAAGTCCAGAGCCGTGGGCATACTGAGTCCCATTCATAGCCCATGGGATTCCCTTAGCATGAGTACTGGGGAACAAGTTCTGAATTGATGTGCGGGTGCTATGAAGGATAGACCTGTGGCAGAGGTCACACAAACTTTTATGTGTGAGTCACTTCACACTGAAGAGGAAAGAACAGAAGGGGTTATCTGCACACCTATTCAGACCTCAGTTCCTGGACAATCCAGGCTGGTTTGCTCTGAAGGAAGGTACAGAAGGCTCCTGGACAATCCAAGTGCATGGGAGTGAGACTCTGTATCTCCTTGTAGGTGTACAGCGTGCAGCACATGTCAGTAAAGAAGATGTTCTTAGGGTGAGATAAGGTCACAGAAATAGTTCACATTCCATTCTACACCCAGCCTGCTGCTGACTCATGAGCCATGTAGTGCCAAGGAACCAGCACCTTCTAACACTGTCGTCCTTATCCTGTACCATCCCTCCTCAGCAGCGACAGGCAGACTAGGGACTGCTGCATCTTGAGAGCCCTAGCTTCAAGACACTGGATCCTGCTCCGCCCTAGCTTAGCGCCTCAGGAATCCATGGGTGTGGGCTGGGACGGGGCTGTGCCCTGAAGACACATGTGCTTTGCAAGATGTTTCACCTCTGTCCTTTGAAGTACAATCAGGAAGAGGTATCCAGAATTCTGAAGACCCAGGGCCACTTGCTTTCACTGATGGGTGTTGATCAAGGAGTTTCTTTCCTAGATACCAATTGGAGTTTTTTTTGAGCACTTTCAGGTATGGAGACTATGACAACTGTCTCTTGAAAGGTACTGACAGAAGTGTTTATCAGACAGACATTAATCTGTTCCAGGTCTCATGTCTGCTATGTGGTGAGATCTAGGCCCTTAAAAACCCAATACCCCAGGAAAATACGACTTAGAAGATCTCCTTTCTTAAGACCTCAGTTTTTTCAGTTATCCACCGAGGCAAAGGCACATTGTCAGGATTAGGAAGATTACATTCCTTAGGTTACAGGGTTTCATCATTGCTACAGAGGCGCACAGCGGAAGCATCAGGGGAAGGTGACTGGGTTGTCTGCAGAACAGGCATCTTGTTTGGGGGGAGGCTATAGAGGGGAGGAGAGTTGGTGGGGAGAAACCTGTTCTCTCTTCTGAGACCCACAGACAATAAGCTGAACTTTGAGTCCAGAGGGGACTATGGATGCCCCCCTCCCCTCTTCCTCTGTGTGGGGAAGGGTCTTCAAAGTAGTTTCATCCCCTACAATCTCCCTGCAAGCCTGGCCCTCCTTGTAGGCCTCCCTCTGTGCAGTTGATTTGACCAAACTGCTGGCTTTGGTCAGTGTTACGGGAAATAGAATGCTTTCTCAAAGTCAAGACTGTGCTCACTGGCTTTTTGGTAGTCTGTGCTATGGTCTGTGCTATGGTTTTGATAGGAACTTGGCACACAGAACCTGAATGGTGAATTATTTTACTTCTGTTCCTAAATAATTCTGGTGAGTAGATTAGTTGACAGAATGACTACTGTGAAATGCGGATTGAAAACCTACTCTTTCTTATGTAACAAGGACAGAGGTCTTGGCCTCGCAGCCTCCTGTTCCCCCTTTAGACTTTAGGAGCTTTTCTTATGTTAACCCAAAGGAAAATATATAACTAGTAATTGGCTGTGTTTGCATTGTTTTCCTGATTTAGCAATTTTGAAAAGCTTTTCTCTCATTTTAGAGTTGTTTAGTAGAGCCTTCGGGGCTAGAGACATATCTGACAACCCTGAGGGTCAAAAACCAAACATTTCCAACTGACCTCTGAGGGCAAAGCTATTTTTTTTGTGGACACTAACACTCTTTCCATGGGGGAAAAGGAAAAGATCTATGTGACCTAATCTCTCTGTTGGCACACTGAGAAATGTCCCAGAGTGCCTGGATTCTTATCTCAGTTCCCCTGTTAAAATAACACTGTAAGGGGCCAGAGAGATGGCTTAGTGGTTAAGAGAACGTGCTGTTCTTACAGAAGATTTGAATTCAGTTCCCAACACCCACATGGTGGCTCACAGCAGTCTGCAACCTCTGTTCTAGGGAATTCAATTCCCTCTTTGGGCCTCCAAGGGGATCAATCACACATGTAGTACTAATACTATAGTTCTACATATAGGTGGAACACTCGTACACATAAAATAATAAGTAAATAATTTTTTTTTAGATGATAGGCCGAGCTTGGTAGGGCACACATTTAATTCTACACTGAAAAGGCAGAGGCAGGCAGATCTCTGTGAATTCAAGGCCAGCATGCTCTACATAGCAAGTAGACCAGTTGGGGCTACAGGAATACCCTGTCTCAAAACAAAGAAACAAACAAAAAGTATAACATTGTATGTGCCTTGGAGACAGCATGCCTGGGCCATCTGCAGCATGCAGTGATGTGGACTCTTCATTCACACTCAGATGAGGGTTTCTGCACTGCCCAAATCCTTCCTTCCACTTGTGATCACAGAGTTTGTGCTCCGTTGGTCTCTTCAGCTACAGGTGCACTCAGATTCTCTATGTGGAAAGATCTCAATCACCTCACAGCCAGAGACTGCAAATCACCTGCAGCCTTATTCCAGGTCAGAGGAATATAGCCAAAACTTTCCTTGGGACAGATGCTGTCTCTATGGCTATGCTGAATATCCTGTAGAATGAACAGAATGGAGGACAGGAAGGAGAAACGAGGGAGGAGGCCACTTAGCAAACTATTACCTTTGGCTGTAGAAGGACCCAGGACAGTTTGTATACTGTATGGTATCACAAACCTTAACTGAGTTTTGGAGCATCTGAAATTTTGTTATTTCCAGCTGTCTGCAAATCAGTGGAACAGATGGGTCCCAGTGTCCCCTCCCTGACTAGAGCGATCATATCTCCTGATCTTGTAGGTTCTTAGGCTGGTGAGGACAATGTTTGGGTTCTCTGTCACCAGGAAATGTATGGTACAGCTAGAACTGAAACAGATTCTTAACAGAAAGCATAGCTTCAAATCATGGACCATTCTTTACCAGTGTTAAGACCCTGGATTAACACTTAACTATTCATGTCACCTACACTCACAAGAAGGGACATTTCTGACAACATTGAAGTCCCAAGGACAAAACTGCTCCTCAGAAACCAAGGCATATACCAAACAGAACCAGGAAGCGCTCTGATATCACCAGAGTGATCAGACATGCTTCCCCTGGTTGGACACTCATCAGCTGGTTCTCTTTCACTGTCTTGTTCCGCAGCATGTGTCTGCTATGTGATCAGTATGGAGGGCATCGGAGCAGGAGCCCATCGCCTGTGGAGCCACCGAACTTACAAAGCACGCCTGCCCCTTCGGCTCTTCCTCATCTTTGGTAATACAATGGCATTCCAGGTAAGATGCTGTTTCTGTTCATTCTTATGTCTCCATCTGATGGATGATCCAGAGCAGGGTGGAGGGCATCAGAACCCAGAGAGGACCCTGCACGACAGCTATCACCCTCTTTGGACTCCTGAGGTCACTTCAAGTGCATGTTCAGTACAGAGGTGCACACAGCATGGGACACCTGAGAGTCATTGGAAGGGAAATAGGAAGAAGTAAGGAGGGCAGGTTCTCCAGATGTAAGAGTGTTTTTATTCCAAGTTCCCTTGGTTATCATGCAGTGTGAATGCTGTGGTCCTTCAGGTTAAAAGATCATAAACCATCAGCAAGACACTGACTATGGATTCCTTACACTAAATATACAATAAACTCATGCTTTTCTATGACTGTCCTAAGAACCTCTCGGTAGTGGGATTAGAAGTTCCTGATACAAGACCAAATATTTGTATCGTACCATCCACTAGACACTGTGTTAGAACTTGACAGAGGTTAATTTATTAAGTCTTCACCACCATGTGGGGAGGTAGACCACTTTTCAGGTGAGGAAACATAATCACTGAGAGGTAAGATAAACTGACATTATTGTCCTATTAAGGGCAAGCATGCTGGCTAAGTCAGCACTGAGGGTGGTTCCTGCAACATTTGTAATGAATAGATTGTATAAAATTAGAAAAGGAACACTCACCTATAGGTTGTAGCTTATAGTTTGAGACTTAGCTTGCAAGAAGAGGAAATACTAGAAAACTATTTCGTTTCCTTTCTCTTGACAACATCTGATCTCAGCACAGGTGTGTAATCATCTCTGCTCTAGCAATTTATACCTTGAAGGCTCCCAATTTTTATCTTTGGAAGATAAAGAAAAGGAAGACATGTTAGCACATTTCTGAAAGGAAGCATAGAGCACAGGAAAGCCCAGAGATCTTTCAGAAATATGCTCAGGCTCATGAGTTATACATGTTGGTCTTGCTACTGGGTTGTGAAGGCATCAGAATGGAGCTCTCTATATCTTTGTTGCAGAGCAAAACCTTAGGATCTATCTGCTTCCTAATCTCTCTGCCCAGGGATTGGACACCTCAGGAGGACCCTGTACCACATTACTTGTTTATGCACCACCATGTTATTTGTTAATAAAACTATGTGAGCACTGGATTACCTCCCATCTTCCCACAACACAACCTCAGGAAGCAATCATGGTGCTCTTATACTCTGAGACTTTGAGTTGCTTTTCCATGTAAGCTTTGGGGGCAGGTTGCAGAACTGGGAAGGACCCCATGTTGCCTTTGTAGCCAGAGACTGGTGACTTCCAGGAGATTAGACTGGGAGTCCTGGGACCCTGCAGACATCTGGGCACTAAAGCCTCCCAGGTGAGCATCCCTTCTCATTACTGGGTTCCTCTCTTCTGTTGTTCCAGAATGATGTGTATGAATGGGCCAGAGATCACCGTGCCCACCACAAGTTCACAGAAACCCACGCTGATCCTCACAATTCCCGTCGTGGCTTTTTCTTCTCTCACGTGGGTTGGCTGCTTGTACGCAAACACCCAGCTGTCAAAGAGAAGGGCGGTAAACTGGACATGTCTGACCTAGAAGCTGAGAAACTGGTGATGTTCCAGAGGAAGTAAGTGAAGGGAGGATAGATCTGGGGATGTAGGGATGGGAAACCTCCACATTTCCCTTAGCACTTATAATACCTGAGTTTCTATGTTCTGGGTCTCTATGTTCAAAAGCATCATTTCAAACCCAACATTTCAAACCCAATATTTAATTTTTGGTGGTCCACAGTCATTGATTACTGTTTGTTGCTTTTTCTCTGAACTACTTTTTTGCTCCTTTTTTTCCTTTGAGACAGGATCTCCTCTGAACTATTTTTAAAAAACCATTTAACACAAATATTCTCTGACCAAGGCGAGTCATGGACACAACCATGAATGCCACGGAATCCTTATTTGCCAGGAGCCTTGAGCCTACTGGTGGAGGGAGAAGGACACTTTCTTAAGTAGCCATAAAGTGAGGCAAAATATTATCTCTATTGTGAGAGGCACAAAAGGACAGAGATCCTTGGAGAGAACATGAAGAAAGGTTGATGATAAAGGAGCACCAGGAACAATCGAAGGACAGTGTCTTGCACATCTGTGTGAGGATAGGGACAGCACAAACAGAAGGTGCAAAATGAACCAAAGCCTTAAGCATGGTCCAGAAACATCTCTAACTCCTTGACTTACAGGGAGTGATAGGGGAAAAGGAAGCAAATAGTGACTGATGCCACTTCTGATCCAGACAGGATTAGTGCATCCAAGTAGCTATTCAAGATAGATCCAACAGCTTGTGGCACAATCAGAGCTGTGCTTTGGAGAAGCCACTGTGAGATCAGGTGAAAGAAAACATTGAGCCATAGGGGTAAAAGGCAAAGCCACATGTTAGACAGTAGGAAGGATTCAGGCTGGGAGGGCATGGCAGGAATAGGAAGGAGCTGGGTGCAGACAATGACAGAAAAGCTGGGGGCATGACTTCTGACAGGATACCAGTCGATGCCTTGGAATATCAGTGGTTTGGTCTATATGGAAATGAAAATTGAGCAGGACCTCCAGAGGGACAGAATCTATAGGTGATCAAGGGCATTCCTTATGCCTCTTGGAACAAAAGCTGGGCATAGAACTTGGAGGAGGCTAGCAAGAAAGGGAATTGATGGCAGATAGAGAGATGGCTCAGAGCTTAAGGGTGCTTGCTACTCTAAAAGAGACCTGCATTCAATTCCTAACACCTACATGTTGGTCCATGGCCACTTATAATTCCAGTTCCAGGGGGTTTTGGCACCCTCTTCTGGCCTCTATAGGTACTTCACACACAAAGTATACAAACATAGTTAAGCAAAACACTCATACACATAAAATGAAATAAAATTTTTAAATATTTTAGAAAAGAAATGGGGTAGGGAGCTGTAGAGATGGCTAAGTGGTTAAGAGCACTGGCTGCTCTTGCACAGGATCTGGGTTTGGTTCCCAGCACCTATAAGGCAGCTAATAACTGTCCATAACTTCAGTTCCTGAGGATCTGACACTCTCTTTTGACCCCGCAGGCAATGCACAACACAGGTGCAGTTACATGTATGCAGGCCAAACACTCATACATGTGAAAAATAAATAAATAAAATATTTTTTTAAAAAAGAAATGGTGGAATGACTTGCTACTCTCTGTGTCAACAGCCTTGACAGGCAAAAAATTGGAGCCCAAAGGCAGATGGACAACAGCCTAGGCAGCACAAATTAGCAGATGAGGATGCAATCTGATTCTGATCTGTTCGTATAATGTGGACTTATCCTTCTGTGAATAAGAACAACAGATTTCAAGTTAAGAGACTTTGGCAACTAATGAGTTCATCATAGGAAAGTCATTTCATAGCTCCGTATGGCCTTATCTAAAAAGTGACAGAGGGCTGGAGAGATGGCTCAGTGGTTAAGAGCATGGGTGCTCTTCCAGAGGACCCAAGTTTGGTTCCCAACACCAACATGGTGTCTAACGATCATCTACTACTCCAGTTCAGGTAATACAATGCCCTCTCTGGCATCTGCAGGAATTGCGCACACAGCACAATTACATACATGCCAGCAAAACATTCATACGCATAAAAAAAAAACATAAAACAAAAACAAAAAAATGACAGTAGCATTCTGTACTGAAAACATTTCTACTCTATTTCCTCTTGATGGTACCCCCACCCCACTCCTGAACTCACAGTGAAAGAGCAAAGAAACAGCAACACCCAGTGAGTGGCCAATCCAGGTAGGGGTGAGAGTTCTCTTTACCAGACTGACGTTCTGATCTCTCCACGCAGGTACTACAAACCAGGCATCCTGCTGATTTGCTTCATTCTGCCCACACTGGTGCCCTGGTATTTTTGGGGTGAAACTCTTAAACACGGCTTGTATGTTGCCACTTTCCTGAGATATGCCTTAACGCTTAATATCACCTGGCTTGTGAACAGTGCTGCCCATCTCTATGGCTATCGCCCTTATGACAAGAACATTGATCCACGGGAGAATGCCCTGGTTTCAGTCGGGACTATGGGTAAGTCTGAAGCATCACTACGTCCAGTGGCCTGCTAGTTAGGATATTCTGAGAGGAGCCAGAAAGACCTAATTAGTCTGTTTTTAAAGTCCTGTTGTGTCTCAGATCTTCCATTGCAAAACTAGGGGTTATGATACTGAGAAACACATGAGAGTCAGGCAACAAGTTTTATGCAAAAAAGGTAAAGGGTAAAAACTACTGTCTTTGGCTGCAAGTTCAAAATTCACCTTCAAATGAGCCCTTTTAAGTTTGCCCTTCTTCAGTCACCCGATTCATCTCTCTGGATTGGGCTATAGTCTCCATTGGGTCAAGAGGTTCATAAATAGAACAGGTCAATGGAGAGGCCAGTAAGCCCAGTGTGTCATTGCTAGTCATGCCCTATAAAGTCTAGAAAAAAAAAAAAAACAAGCATGACTTTGTTCAATGCTCTTTGAGTGGGTCACTTTCAAAGTATTCTTTTCTTTCCATTCTGTGGTGTCATGACTCCCCCAACCCCAAGTTCAGGAACCACTCTACATGCTCTTCCATTCCCCTATACCCTACAATTCTAAGCGTGTCATGCAAATGGAATGGAATGATGTGACTGAGATGTGTCCTGCATTGCTGATGAAACTATAGTGAGCTTTCCCCACTCCAGCCTCCTTAGGACTGGCTGTTCTAAGCGGCTGCAGGTGAACGCTTTGTCTGTATTGTCATTTTCTTCTCGGTACCTGCTCTTTCCTCCCTCCCTTCACTTTTTGCTCTGCTCCGTCTGTCTCTAACCATTTTAATCTTCATCTTTCTCCCCCCAACTCCTTCTCCTTCTATTCCCTTAGCTTTCTCCACCCCCCTTGTAATATCGGGGATTCAGCTCAGAGCTATGTGCAAATGCTCTCTCAGTGAGCTATATTGTCAGCCCTCTTTATAGTCTTTAAATTTTGAGTGAGATCTCACTAAGTTTTCTAGGTTGACCTCAAACTCACTCTGTAGCTCAAGCTGGCCTTGAACTTCTACCAATAAGGTGTAACCTCGGCCTTTAAAAACTTTTTTTGAGACAAGGTTCCTATAACTTCCCAGATAGGCCTTAAACTTACATTCCTCCTGCTTCAGCTTCTCAAGTAGCAGGGATTACAAACCTGTGCCGTTAGACATGGCCAATGTATAAAACTACAATGTTTTTCATATTCACTGTGTTTTTCTTGTGCTGTGCTGTGTGTGTGTGTGTTGTGTTTTTGCACATGAGCATGTGTGTACTTGTGTGTTGAGGCCAGCCATCAATATCCATTATCTTCCTTAATTGCTGCTGTTCTCTATCTATCATCTATCTGTCTATCTATCTATCTATCTATCATCTATCTATCTATCATCTATCTATCTATCTATATCTATCTATCAATCATCTATCTATCAATCATCTATCTATCATCTATCTATCTATCTAATCTATCAATCATCTATCTATCTATCTACTTATCTACCTACCTATCTATCTATCATCTTTTGATTTTGTTTTGTTTTTTGAGACTGGGTCTCACTGTGTAGCCCTGTCTGGCCTGAAGCTCCCTATGTAGACCAAGCTGAATCTGAACTCACAGAGATCTGCCTGCTTCTGCCTTCCAAGTACTGAAACTAAAAGCAAGCCCCACCACTCCAGGCCTTATCTGTTTTTGATACAAGGTCTCTCACTCAACTTGGCGCTCACTGATTCAGCTAGAGTGGCTGGTCAGCAAGCCTGAGGATCCTCTTGTCAATGCGGGTACACACATGACACCATGCCTAGCTTTCTATGTGGGTACTAGGGATCAAAACTCATATCCTCCTGCTTGGGTGGCAAGCACTTTACTGACTGAGCAATCATCTCAGCCCCTTCACGTCTATTTGGAGAAATAAACATTAGTTGAATTTCTACATAGAGGAAATTGTATCACATTTAATAATGCTGAGTTCATCTTTATAAACTGGCTGTGTTTAATGCCTTTCTTGAATTTTAAGAAATTTTTTCAAATGTGGAACCCCAGGCCACAGTGTAAAGGAGCTTTTGTTATATTTCACGTTGGCTTATATCCTTCTGTTTTGACTGATTCACAAAACTTCACACTTCACGTTGATGCTATCTAATGATCTTCATGCTCTCACAGATTGTGTTGAACAACATAGATTTGTGGAGAGAAGCTACATTTTATATGTCCTGCAGAGACAGTTTGTATTTCCTGCAATATATTTGCATGAATATCATATTAATTTCATTCACCATAAAAGTAATTTTCATCCAAACAATCAGAAATTTCAGAAAAAAAATTAAATCTTGGATGATGCAAGGAATCTTTTATCAGAAAGATTCCATTTTATCAGCAATCCTCATCCCCAGTACCCCAGAGTCAAAGCTCAGAAAATTCAGTCAGAGCAGCTCACTGAGCCAGCAGAGGCTGAGGGAACTAAAGGTCTGTTTGAGCAATTTAGAGAACCTTGTCTCAAGGAACCACCTTAGCACCGGTTCCTCTGACTTTTGGCTCCTGTTCTCTTTTCTGTTGCAACTTCCCGCACTTAGAGGGAACACTAGTACCACGGGAAAAGGAATGCTGTACACTCCCCTTTGTAATAGGCACACTCCCAACGGACTTTCCCCTCCTGAATTCATGTACATACCCCAGAGCCTCTGCATCTCAGCACATCCCTACATTCTAGCATATTCCAATGTAAAATACTCCCACAGAAGAACCAGTTTCTTATCCTGTTAAGCTCTGAGACATTTTTCTTCCAGCAAGTGCTTGTAGATTCCAAGGTCTGTCAACTCGTTGCTTCGCTCAATAACTGCAAGGCGCTCTGAGAGAGGCACCACCAAGTAAGAGGTGTGCAGAGAGGAGGAAGCAGCCATCCACCCAGCTCCCTAACTGCTCCCCTTGCTTCTGTTCCAGGCGAGGGCTTCCACAACTACCACCACACCTTCCCCTTTGACTACTCAGCCAGTGAGTACCGCTGGCACATCAACTTTACCACGTTCTTCATCGACTGCATGGCCGCGCTCGGCCTGGCTTATGACCAGAAGGAAGTATCCAAGGCTGCTGTCTTAGCCAGGATTAAAAGAACTGGAGATGGAAGCCACAAAAGTGGCTGAGTTTTGGGCCATCTGGGTTCCTATTCCGAAAGCCAGCTTGGCAGCGGTTTAATGTTCTGCTCAAAAACCAGATGAGCAAAAGATTAATGTTCTGCTGTTGAAATGCTGAATGATACCACCCATGTTCTAAAGAATCCCATTCTAAAACACTAGTTTTGTAAAATGTCCAAATATTAAAAGGCAAGAACCCTCCTTTCTGACACTAAGCAGATAGTCTTACATCCTCACTCTTCTGTTCCCAGGGGCCTTTTTATTGCTTAGTCCTTATCAGCCTTCTCTTCTTTCTTTATTGCTTTCCAGGTAAGCTGCAGTCAGCAATAGGTTGGCATGCACCACCAAAAACCTAGCAAGCTTTTTAATTAAAGGATGCTCAGCCTTGATCTTTCTCTTTTTTAAAAATATTTGTTATCTTTATTGTATGTGTATGAGTGTATTGCCTGTATGTGTATAAGTGCGTCTGTGTTGTACAATGCCCATGGAAGTCAGAAGGCAACAGATTCCGTGGAGCTGGAGTTATGGGTGGTCGTTAGTTGACATGTGGGTGCTGGGAACTGAACCTGGGTCCTCTGCAAGATCAGTCAGTGCTCTTAACCACTGAGCTATCTCTCCAGCCCCTATTTGATCTCTCTTGAGTTTCAAGGTAGGAGGCTGTAGCTAAAATTTCAACCAACTCTTCTAGGAAGTTATCTGTTAGTTATCATCGAACCATGTGAAAATGAAGGGAAAGAAACAAAAAGAACAAACAAAACAAACAAGCAAACAAAACACAAGAACATTCCTTGCCAAAGCGTTTGCATAGCAGTTAAAATTATCAGGGGAGAGAGTTAGCATGCTGGGTACGGTTCTTAAACAGGGATGGTGATACAGGAAACAAGTTACAAAGAAGCTGTTTCTGTCATCAGACCCAGCTGCTTCCCAAGCCGACATGGAGCTCCTCTCTGTCATCTTCCCTCTCAGTCCTAAGCACCTGAGCTTGGCACTTTTAGAACACAGCAGCAAATCTGATGTCTAAATATTCCTTAGGGCAAGGATCTAACAAGAACTCTTTAGTAGGAAAAGTGGTCTCGGCTGGAAAAGGAGTTCATTCTTCTGTAATAACAGGATTTCCTGTTTCATTGAACAAGATGTCTTCTGGTGGGGTATGATCAGAATAGGTGAGTACAGGTGATCACAGAGTTCTGAGAAGTCCATGAGTTGCTGCTCTTTCAACTTTTTTGTTCCATCTTATTCAGGATATTACATTACCTCTCATAGTTCTTTCCATAGTTCTTTCTAGTATAGGCTGGATTAGCCCAGAATTTATGTTTCTTTGGAATACCTGGAAAGGGGCTAACCTGAGTAGTGTCAGGGCTACTATAGTTAAACAGAGGTTGTGTCTTCTGAGACTTTGTACATCTTAGACCATTAGTTCCTGTCCCCTTTCAGTTGGGAGCCCCAAAACCAGGTAGGTCTATTTGGCCACCAGGTGGCATTCTAGAACAGTATTCTTTCACATGGAGTCTCTCCTATCCATTGGGTGTGGCTATGCCCCAACTGACTAATACATTCCTTTCCATGTACCTCTGATGTGAAGATCCAGTTTCATGTCTCTCACCTTCTAGTTTGGTGAGATTTGGCTCCACTGCAATATGGAATAAGCATCTAGGCTCATCCCTATCCAGGGCCATTCTTGACTCATGAGGATGCATCCACATACCCAACAATTGCTAATGCCAAGGCTTTTCGAAATTCTCTCTGCCAAGTCTATAAAGAGGTTTTTACCTGAAGAGGGAAGTTTTAGGTTTGGGCTTAAATCCTTATATAGTGTAGCAGCTGGGCCAGGGCTGGTGGTGAAAGGACTGGTGATGACTGGTCTCAGGTCCACATGCCATAATCATTCAGGGAGTATAGGGAACTGAGGATCTGATTTCCAACAATACCATTTCCTTATGATAGGGCAATGTCTCCTTTGCAGGAAAGGCCATTTAGATACTGAGAACTGACCCAAGCCAGGTAGAGTTTGTAGCGACCAAAAAACAAGGGGCCATTGAAACATAACATACTTCTGGCAGGGCAGAGAAATAGGTGAGAATGTCCCTCATAATGGAGTACATTCTGTGTACTCTGACACAGAACGTGTGGTCTGGTCATAAATGACCTGTCTCAAGATTCTCTCAAGAAGAGGCTAGCCATACACAAAATGGCCTGGGTTAAGAGGCTTACCAGATATGAGAGCAACATTATGGAGGTCAACTTAATAACAATGGAGGATACTTAAAATGCCTACATAAGCAAAGTAAAGAGGTACCAATAGAATTGTCTCAGTATATGTCCAGTCAGCTGGAGCAACTTCTACCAAACCTATGGTAAAAAGTACTGCAAAGGATATAACCATAGACATAAGCAGGGGATGGTAATGCATCACAGTGAGGATCCAATAGTTCTTCCACTGTGCATAGAGACTAGCCAGCCTCCAGAGTAGCTGGAGTAGGGCTGTTGCTTCCTCAAGCTTCTGTAGTGTGTGGACTGACATGCTTCCAGTGTGATCAGAGCAGGGCTGAATCCTCCTCATGCTTTGGCTGTGCACAGGATAGTCAGCTTCCAAAGTGACTAGAGCAGGGCTGTTGTCCTGATCCTCAGACTTGACTGGTGTCCCCATTTTCCAGATTGTCAGTTGGAGTGCATTTCTGATCTATGGCTGAAGGCTTGAGTCTAGTATACTGAATCCAGGGACGTACTTCAACAACCTTAACTACAGTGGGGGTGGATGAAATGACAGTTGAAAGCCTCTCCAAAGAGGCTTTAGGGGTTGGACATTCCATTCCTTAACCCAAATCGAGTCTCCTGGCCTAAAGGAGTGTACATCTGTTGTCAGGCTAACAGGCAATCTTCCCCTCACCCATTGATTTGAAAGAATCAAGCCTTTTCCCAAGCCTTGGAGTTGCTGCCCCAGGGCCAGTTCTCCTATTTCCTTCAGGTCTCCTCCCAGTCCTCTGACGTATAATATCTCTTAGGGAGAGACTCCACTTTTCTTTGTCGGAGTGGACCTGATTCTCAGCAAAGCAACTGGAAGGACTTCATCCAAATGGAGGTGGGTCTCTTGGCATAGTTTGCTTAATTGTGTCTTAAGAGACCTGTTAATTCTCTTTACCCTTCCAGAGCTTTGTGTCCTATTTGCAGTATGTAATTTCCATCTAATGTCCACATTTTTAACTAGTAATTATATTGTCTCTGCCAAAAAATCTGGTCCATTGTTAAGCCAATGGAGATGAGGATCCAAAATCTGGGAATGATCTCCTGGAGGAGCATTTTGGCTACCTCTCGAGCCTTTTCAATGGTTGGGAAAACCTCCACCCAAGCAGAGTGAGCACATACAAAGACTAAGAGACATTCATAGTCCTATGAGCACGGCAATTCTGTGAAATCCACTTCTAAATCTTCAAAAAGAGTCCCTCTCATGCTTTGGACTCCTGGAGAAAGCTTTAGCCCTAGACGTGGGTAGTTGTGGGCACATATTATACATTGTTCACATATTGCCGAGGAGATGCTTGTGAGTCAGGTAACATAGAAGTGTGGACTCAGGGCAGCCTCAAGTGCTGTTCTGCACATGTGGGTTCCCTCATAAAATTGCCTGACAAAAGCAGGGGTTAGTGCTTTGAATATGGCTATCTGAACATCAGAGAGTTTCCACCATCTGCCTGGGAGAAAGCATCCATTTTTAGTTTTGAACCATTTCGGCCTGTGAATAGCTAAACTTTCAGTCTGTCAGAGGACTGGGGAGCCAGACTGCAGTGACAGTTCCTATTTTAGTTAATTCTTTGTAGGCAGCAAGTTTTGCTTCTTAGTCAGCCCTCTGGTTTCCTTGAGCAATCAAAGTGTCTCTTTGGTATTTGCGGCAATGCAGAATGCTATTCTTTTGGGGGCCCAAACGGCATCTAGAAGATTAAGGATTTCTTGGTCATATATTATGTCTTTCCCCCTGAACTAATTAGTCCTTTTTCCTTATACAAGTCTCCATGAGCATGCAGAGGAGTGAAGGTGTATTTAGAGTCTGTATAGATGTTGGCACAGATTCCTGTGGCCAGTTGGAGTGCTCTGGTCAGGGTAATGAGTTCTGCCTTTTTCCTGATGTTCTTGTTGGCAGAGTTCAGTCTCAGTGGTGGAGTCTGAGGCAACCACCAAATACCCAGCAAGACATGTTCCATCCTGTATGAATCTGCTTCCATCAGTGAAGTATTCTACATCTGGGTCCTTGAGGGGCTGATCAGTTAGAGCTGGTCTGCTGGAAAACACTTTTTCCGTGACTTTAATACAATTACAATCTGTTTGCCAGCCCTAACTGGCAGCAGGATGGCTGGATTTAATGTCCTCACTACCTCAGTGTGGGTGCGTGGGTTTTCACATAACATTCCCTGGTACTTGACCACCTCATATCAGTTAGTCATCAGAACCCTGTATGTTCTAGCAATGTCAGTACCAACTGGGGCACTTGGACTGTTCCTGTCTGATGGCTTGTCAGCTTCTGCTATCATGAGCATTGTGGCTGCAAGAGCTCTTAGGCAGGTGGCCAGCCTTGAGCAACAGAGTCTAGCTATTTGGAGAGATAGGCTACCAGGCGATGCCAATTTCCCAATTAATGTGTTAGGATTCCCACAGCTATTGTGGACTGTTTATGGGTATACAAGAAGAAGCACTGGGTAACATCTGGATGTCCCAGGGCAGGAGCCTTGGTGAGCGCCTGTTTGATGTCCGCAAATGCCTTCTGTTGTGTCAGCCCCCATATCAGGGGCTCTTGTTCACTCCCCCCCCCCTTGGGGCTTTATAGGAGGTTTTGCCATGACTAGGAAGTTGGAGATCCAGATTCGACAAGCCAGTGGCACCCAAGAATTCTCAGAATTGGTGACAGGTTGATGGAACAGGCATTGAACAGACTGTTTCTTTCTGGGTCAAGTTGACTTTGTTCCAGGGTCAGATGAAAGCCAAGGTATTTGACTTTGTTCTGACAGATCTGGGCCTTTTTCTTGGAGACTTCATAGCAAGGAGCAGCTGTGTTCCTGTCATGCGTTCCTTTCGGGTGGCTCCTACCAATAGGAAGTCATCTACATACTGAAGCAATGTACACCAACATTGTTTAGCAGGAAAGGCCTTCAAATCAGAAGCTAGTGCTGTCCTAAAGAAGCCCTGTGGTAACCTAGGCCATGTTAGTTGTCCTTGACTTCCATTGGAAGGCAAAAAGTGACTGGCTTGAGGGTGCCAGGTGAATGTCGACACCCTCAAGGATCTAAGCAGGTGAAATAGGCTGACTCTGCTTGGATCAGGCTCAGGAAAGTAAACAGATTGGGGACCA